GAATATGGGTGCAGGTTCTAGTGTAAATCCCAGTGTGAATATGGGTGCAGGATCCAGTGTAAGTGTGGGCATAGATCCCAGTGTGAATTCCAACGGCGAGGTGGTGTGCATGTTCCTGTGGCCCCGGCCCGCCTGGTCAGTGGCGTTTGTCGTCTACACCTTCCTGCTGGGCTTCTTGCTGCCCGTGCTCGCCATCGGCCTGTGCTACCTGCTCATCATCCTGCAGACCCGGGCTGTGGCCCTCAAAGCCGGCTGGCACCAGCGTCGGCGCTCCGAGCGCAAGCTCACCCGCCTGGTGCTGACCGTGGTGGCCGTCTTTGTGATCTGCTGGCTGCCTTTCTACGCCGTGCACCTAGCCGGCGTCTTCCTGGCCGAGCTGGACACCACTGTCAGCCACCTCTGTGTGATCCTCAGCTACGCCAACAGCTGCGCCAACCCCATCCTCTACGGCTTCCTGTCCGACAATTTCAGGCGCTCCTTTCAGCGGATTCTGTGCTTCCGCTGGCTGGAGAACGGTACTGAGGAGCCGGTCGACTACTATTCCACCGCTCTCAAGAGCAAATTGGGCAGCCCACTGGAGTTCCAGCCTGCTGAAAACATTGCCTCCGAGACTGTTTACAGAAACGGTACTTGCACCTCAAGAACAACCACCTTATGAATTCAGCGACAAGCACCTCTTGACTGTTTTCCAGGTGAAATCTATTTTACTAAAGATTACTTAAAGATGACAAATTGTCAGTTCCACCGTTTGTTTACAAGTCAGTTTCATCAGGGATTTGTGATGGTGGGTGTCCATTGCACACAGGTGTGTGCCCTTGTCACTTTTCCAGTGAATCTCTCTCCCTCTTTCCTGTGCGTCCCCCGTCCCTCGCTATTCACTGACAGGCGCTGGTACAAAAGATAAAGAGCCGAAAGTGTTGGAGAAACTCAGCGGTGTTCTCTCACCGTCTGTAGGGAGAGGAAAACAGAATGAAGGTTTGGCCTCAAAAATGGTTAACTCTGCTCAAATGCTGATAGACCTTGCTGAGTTTCTCCAGCACTTTTGTTTTTAAAAATAATTTCACATGTCCAGCATCCACAGTATGCTTTAATATATGCCTTTATATCAACATGGGCTGCATTGACAACCTCTACTTTTCCACCTGTAAGGGAATTTGTCCAGGGTGGTCTGTCCATCAAACTTGACTGAGGTTTCAAGATCATTTCTGTAACCCCATCGTTAGATGTGCAAAATCAGTGATGGGGACCAAATTGTTCAGTTCATCACCCAATGCAGTCTCAGTGTTTGTTACAGCACTAATCTGTTGATCAATGGTTGGGGGAAATGACAATGCATTATACGTTTCAAGCTGAGAACCCAGAATATAAACTACCACACAAGATCAGATTTGTAATTATTGCAACAACAATTTTCCTGTTGTGTTAAGAAAGTGACAGCCAGTGTTTGAATTATATCCAAATCACATTTGCTTTAAAGGCAGGGGATGTTTTCCAAATAGGCAATGTACAACGCCCCCACTTCTCCATCACATTCACGGTCTGTACTGTACTACAATCATGTCTTTGTAAATACAGCCCTGCTCTGTGTCCTCAAATTGTGGACTATACTAAAAGCCATTTCAATTGACCTCACATTTAACATTGTAACTACAGGCTGCACAGTCACTGTGTGATATTCAATATACGGAGTTGAGTGAGCAATTCTGCAGGTAGACTACTTTATCACATTAAAGTTTCCCCAGGAAAATGGGAAAAAAAAAACATCTATTGCTGCAGGGTGAAAAAGTATAGTCATGTCCCAATGGATTAATTTTCACATTTGTAGGATGTAGAATCTTTGGAATTCTTTACCCCAGAGGGCTGTTGAACCTCAGTCATTGAGTATATTCCAGACGGAGATTGATAGATCTCTAGAGATTAAAGACATTAAGGAATATGGGGATAGTGTGGGAAAATCGATTTTACACAGAAGGTCAGTTGTGACCCAATTGAATGGTGGAGTAGGCCCAATGGGCTAAATGGCCTACCCCTGCTCTTCTGTTCCTATGGATTAGATTACAGATGTGCACACAGTTTAGAAATTGTGACATTCAACTGGATAGTTAAAATGAGATAATATGGAGCTAATGAACTAAGGCAACATCTGATATGAGCACACATCAGGTAAGAGAGAAGGGAAACATTAGTTCTTTCAGTCAAGCATCTAAAGATTGTTCTCTCATCCCCAAAATGGATTTTGGAATGAAAAATACACTATTCAGTTTAAAAGCACACTTACAGCTGCCAAAAATAAAATCTCAATATCCGACTTATTGCTAATCATAAAGAGAACCATTGTATCCTTAAACAAAGTCGCATTTGAAAACGAAGATTCAGATTATATCTTGAGTGACACTCTGCACTGCTGCATTTTTTATGCTGTTGTACAAGCAGCTAATTTATTCATAATAAGAAAACCTTCAGAACATTGCAAAATGCATTATAGCCAAGAAAGAGGTTTGAAAAGTGTAGTGTCTGTTGTGGGGAACTGTCACAGTTAAATCATTAAACAGATGACCAAATGATCTGACTTTAGATATTATTTGACAGGTAAGTGTTGGAGAGACACCCCTGCTTTTTTTCAAAAAGCTCAATGGGAAACGAACACTCACCAGAGAGAATAAACTGGACCTTTGATCAACCATTCAGCCAAAAGGCAAAGCTGCTGCGCTCACTGAAGTGTCAGCCTTGAATATCTTGCAGATCTCCAAAAAAGATCTTGAACTCCTGACCTTCTAATTTAGATGTGAGAACATTGGGCCAAGGCTGAACCTTAGCTTGGCTTTTTCGTTACCATCACCAAATCATTGGTGTTACCAATTCAAAGAACAATTTGCAAACTCAGCTCATCAGGGCAGTGCAACAGCAACAAAAGTAAGGGCACAACAGGGAGAGAGAGAGAGGGGACTGAATTAAAATAAGGCAGTTCACCCTCCAATGTGCCCACCTCTCTTTAAAGGCTTTGATGGTGTTGATAGACACCAATGCCCCCTCTTCAAGGACAGCTGGGTGCGAACATAGTCATGGAAGAGGGCAGTCAGTTGGAGTTTGGCTATTAAATAGAAGAGTTCCTTATTCAAAAATAAAGTTGAACTTTATGGGCCATAAAATATTTCTTAACTATGTGAGTGTACCATCATATAATGTAAATTCAGAGGAGAGAGCTCTAAATTTTTCTTCCACTTCCTAGGAGATTAAGAGAGAAGTGCAGATTAGGTGGGTAAACAAAAGTAAATAGATTTATAAGAAATAGTGGGTAGTGCCGATGCTGGAGAATCTGAGAGAGCAAGGTGTAGAGCAGGATGAACACAGCAGGCCAAG